ATCAGCATCATCATCATCATCAGCAGCAGCAGCATCCTCATCATCGTCATCATCATCATCATCATCATCAGCAGCATCGTCATCGTCGTCGGCATCATCATCATCAGAAGCAGCATCATCATCATCACCATCACCACCACCACCATCATCATCAGCATCGTCGTCATCAGCGTCAGCATCATCACAATCATCATCAGCAGCATCATCCTCATCCTCATCATCATCAACATCGTCGTCATCATCATCATCGTCATCATCATCAGCAGCATCATCATCATCATCATCAGCAGCAGCATCCGCCTCCGCCTCCTCCTCCTCCTCCCCTCCTCCTCCTCCTCCTCCTCCTCCCCCTCCTTTTCCTCCTCCTCCTCCTCATCTCTCCTCCTCCTCCTCCTCCTCCCCTCCCTCCTCCTCCTCCTCCTCCTCCTCCTCCTCCTCCTCCTCCTCCTCCTCCTCCTCCTCCCCCTTCTCCTCCTCCTCCATCCTCATCATCATCCTCCTCCTTCCTCCTCCTATCATCATCATCATCATCAATCATCACCACCACCACCACCACACCACCACCACCACCATCATCATCATCGTCATCATCTCATCTCATCATCATCATCTCATCATCATCATCATCATCATCAGCATCATCATCATACATCATCATCATCATCTCATCATCCACACCACCACCACACCACCACCACACCATCACCATCATCATCATCATCATCATCATCATCATCATCATCAGCATCATCATCATCATCATCATCATCATCATCATCACCATCATCATCACCATCATCATCATCATCATCATCATCATCATCATCATCATCATCATCATCATCATCATCATCATCCTTCTCCTCCTCCTCCTCCTCGTCCGCGTCCTCCTTCCTCCCTCCTGCTTCCTTCCTCCTTCCTCCTTCCTCCTCTCCCTTTCCTCAGAGCGCCCCAGTCTCGCCACCCCAGGCTTGCCCCTTCGGCAGCGTCTCGAAACCTTGGGCATTCTCGACGCCATCGACTGCGGTGACCAGCGCGGCCCCTGCTCGCACGTGGCAGCCGAGGAAGCTCCCCGACTTCGCCTGCTCCTCCGCGGTTCCCTTACGCCCTCCAGGGGCGACCGATCGGCGCGTCACTCCCTCACAGAACTCCGCCCCCAGCCTCGCACAGTCGCGGACGGAGCGCCGCTGTTCCCCGGCGAGGCCATCTGCGCCGCGGCCGCGTCCCGCCCGAACGCGCCGCCTGGCCTCGCGGGCCACGGCATCGATCCCGCGGGTGCTCTGGCGCCCGCCTGCCGTCGACCATGTCGGCAGGAACTCTGCCGTCGGCACGCCGTCGCGACCGCGGTGTCAGGGGCACCGATCGCGAGCCCCTCGTCGCTCTGGGGAGCCCGCGGCGCCCGAGGTTACTCTTGCCCAGGGCCATTCCTCCTTCCTCCTCCTCCTCCTCCTCCTCCTCCTCCTCCTCCTCCTCCTAATCAATTAATCGCAGACGCGCAGGGGTGCACAGCGGACTTCGCACCAGTCACTGCACACCGCGTACCCGGTGGCCTCGTGCCGCGCCGCAGCCAGTGCAGGCAGGCGACTTGCGCCGTGCGGGAACTCTGGCGGGGGCGACCTCCTTTGGGTTGCCGTCGCAATCTCCACCCGTGTCTCCGTTCAAGATCATGTCGCCTTGCCTGGGATCAGGGTCTGGACTCTCCATGATTGGTGCCAACGGTCTCACGGATGATCCCAACGTCGGCGCGCTCGGCGGCTCCGAAGCGCCCGCAACTCCCATGGAACCGTTGCCTTCCAATGATGGCCCTGGACGGCGAGCCCCCAGGGACAGAGCGTGCCCTTGAGCTTATCCTTCACTCTGGGCGGTCGCCTCGGGCTCGCCCATCATCACGTCCCCATTGTAACCTCCGCCCTGCAGGCACAGCGGCACGCCCCCCTCGTTCTCGTCGGCGACGCATCGGTCGATCATCGCGTGGATCTTCCTAGCGAGCTCGCCCCCCTTGGAGATGTAGCCGCCAAAGCGCCAGCTCCAACTGAAGTGGCCCCTCATGCCAATCAGAAACGCCGCAGGCAGCGGCCTGCCAGCGCTGGCACGCCTGCCCTCGGGGCGATGGCCTCACCACACTCGGCCACGCCGCTGATGCCGAAGCCCCCCTCGTCGCCGACGATCGCGCCCATGGCCGTCCTGTAGGAGCTGCCCTCGGGTTCTGTGCACTCGCCCTCCCGCTCGAGCGAGAAGGCGGTCGCTGCCGCTCCAGCGTCGCACGTCGTGGGCACGCAGTCCGGGGTCCCTGTCGGCCTCTTCACCTCCATGCTGCTCACGCGCTCGAGCACGTCGAACTTGAGCCCCGCAGCTGACCCCATCTTGCGACGGGCTCGACCACCCCGGCATCTTCAAGCGCGAAGCACACCTGGCAGCGATCCGTAGGCGTCAGCGTCGCTGGCCCCGTCTGGATGGCGGCAGGGAAGACTGCAGCTAAGGCGTGCAGAGCCTGCTCGTCCGGGTGGCTTGCCCGCCTGCTGTCGCTGATGGCGGTCCGGCGCGCGCCTCGGTCGACGATGGAGGCCGCGCCCGGTGCGAAGCAGACGAAGCGGGCCACGAGCGGCCTGGAGGGCGGTCTCGATGGCGGCGCGGCAGTCAGCCAGGCGTCTGTGGAAGTGCCGCACCGTGCCAGCACCGCGTCGCGGATCCAGCGCCCGCCCGCGCGCCAGGGGGCCGCGCGCCCCAGGAGTGCCTCCGCGCAGTCGCCCGCGCTGCTGAAGTCCCCCCATGGGAGGGCGAAGTCGTCGAGCTCGCGCAGGGCTGCCGCGGCCAAGAGCGCGCGGGCGAGGTGCGGCGGAGAGGGCTCGGTGAGGAAGATGGCTGTGCACGCACGCATCCGGGGGCGGAACCTGGGAATCCGGCGACCCTGTCGGCGTATGGAGGACGCTCTTCCGTTTGTCGCCTTCGTCCTCGAGGGCCCCGAATCGCCAAACGATCGGTCCAACCTTCGCCGCTCCTTTCCTTTCCCTGGCTGGGCCCTCCCTGGGCTCTCCTCCTCAACCGCGCCAGTCACAACGAAATTAAACAACATCGTAGTTGAGTCGAAGGGAAGCCCTTTCGCTTTGATCCCTTCCCCGCGGCCCGACCCAGAATAACAGCCCCCCAAGGCGATCCCTCCCTGGGCTCTGGACCTGAAGCGCGACAGTCACAACGAAACGGGAGAGGGGGAGGGCTTCCGTTTGTCGTATTCTTCTTCTTCTTCTTCTTCGAGGGCCCCGGATCGCCCAACGATCGGTCCAACCGTCGCCGCTCCTTTCCTTTCCCTGGACCCTCCCTGGGCTCTGCCCCTCAAGCGCGCCTGTCACAACGAAATTGAACAACGTCGTAGTTGAATCGACGGGAAGCCCCTTCCCTTTGATCCCTTCTCCGCCGGGAGGGGGGGGGTCCCCGATCTGTGGGGGGTGGGGGTCCCGACCCAGAATACCATCCCCCCCCTGGGGATCCTGGGGCCCAAAACGCTTCGAACGCGGACCAAGAGTGCCCCCAGGAGACCCAAAAAGGACTCCAAAAGCGCCCCCAAACGGCCCAAGCCGCCATCCACAGCGCACCCATTCCAGTCGAGATCCCAGGCCTCCAGGCTCGGCGGCACCGGCCGCAAGGCCTTCGCAATATGACGCTCGTCCGCGATTGGGGTCTTCCGTTTGTTTGGATCCGGCCTCGAGACCCTGCGTAGCCTGTCGAATGTCCCACACACGCACACTCACGGGTTTGCCTCGGCGGGCGTTCACTCTGCGACGTGCTGGTCACAATCGCTGGCGAAACACACTTTAAGGCGGCGGCGCAGAGGGTCCTCAAGCGCGAGCAGCGGATGGAAGTGCCAGTTGCGATCGAACAGTGTCGAAGGCACAGCGTACGAAGCATTGCACACTGACGAGTGCAGCAATGGGTGGTGTGAAAGAGGAGCTCAAAATTCGTGCGAAACGTGCAGCGGCCAGAAACTGAGGCAACTCAACTCGAAGTAAACTGAAGCGCGAAGAGTCTGGTGCGAATGAGCAGCACCTAACTCACCGAAGAGCAGTGTTAGACAATGAAGCAGAAGAAAAAACTGGAACGGTTACCAGACCAGCTGATGGGTGGAACGAGAGGCTGTCCCAGCACTGCAACAGAATGGTGCGGCGTGAACCAACACGGCCAGCACTGCAAGGCCGTGACAGTGGACGGAATGTGGCCTTGCAGCGACACAGCGACCAGCGACAGCGTAAAACAAGAGAGACAACGCGTCGAAAAATCGGACGCGCCCGTGCTCGTCCTTCCAGAGGTGTAAGCCAGAAGACCGGACAGCATGCTGGACAGACAAAGGGTCCAAGTCCGCGGTCACGCCACAGGACTGAACAGCCAGAAACTGGGAGGTGACCAAACACGGTGGGGGCAATTGGACAAGGAAGGAATCCAGGGTCTGGAAGCTGGTGTAACTCCAATCGTGGATTGGCCAAGGATATCACAGCCGCCCTGATCATATCAGGAATCCTCCAGAATCTGAAGCCTCCTGGGCACATTCCTTGACGAACGCCCCCACCGTATCCTGCCCACCGTGCATCTGTACGAGCACAACCGGCATGGTGGCTCAGCCAAGCAGCCAGCACCCGCCAGCACCGACAAGCGAAAAGCAGCCGACCCGTTCGAGGGTCAGGCCCGTGCAATGCCGCACGCGACAAACTCAAACTAAGCAAGCGCTGAGCGAGAGATTCGCTGGCGAAACACACACACACACACACACACTTTTTTTGTCGGCGGGGCGAGAGCGAACCTCTTCCGCTAAAAGCTAGGCGGGCTACGCACAGTCTAATTAGGGAGACAGGGCACAGGCGGGCGGGGCCTCAGGCGGCCGGAGAGGGCGGGGCCCGGGGTGCAGGCGGTGCCGAGACACACACATACACACACACACACACACACACACGTAAACACACACACACACATCGTTTCCTCCTGCCTCCTGCCCAGGAGGATGAGGAGCCCTGGCGCCTTCTCCCACTCGCGCCCCTTCTCGCACGCGCTGATGGCCCCACAGAAGCCGAAGACGCTGGGAGAGAGCCCGGCCTGCGACATCTGCCCGAAGAGCTGGAGCGCGTGCTGCCAACGGCTGCCTCGGAGGCTCGGCGTCCGACGGCCACCACGGCGGAGAAGAAGAAGAAGAAGAAGAAGATAGGGGCAAATACCGAGTAGGGGATCGACTGCAGAATTCAGTTGCCCCAGAAATTGCTGCTCGTCGAGTTTACGAACATGCGCGGAACGATATACGAGCATTCCACGTGTGCTCTGCATGCGACGAGGCGCTAACTTCTGAGGAAAAAACAATTCTGCAGTCGCTCCCCTGCTCAAGCAGGGAGGGGAGGGAAAAACGGATGACGACAGAGAGGAGAAGTCGGAGAAGGCCAGAGCCCCCTCCTCCACCTGCCCCTCGTTTGTGCACCTTCGGGGCCGTCGTCGTCGAAGCAGCTGGCTCGGTTCCGAAAAATGGTTGCCTCGGAGTCGACCGTCCCTCTCCCCAGACCTATGGTGACTCGAAAACAACGCGACGAGGATGCTCGCCACTCCCGGCCTCCAGCACCATCCCTGCGGCATGGGACCGTCCTAGAAGGCGGCTGCAGGGTAGGAATCGATAGGGCGAGGGGTCACGTGCGGAAGAAACACGACGTCGTAGGTTTTGATCGGAGATCTGGCGTTCGACTGCGAGGTGTTTGCTCTCTCAGGGCCACGTCAGGGGCCCCCATCGCCACGGCTGGATTCCGGGGAGATCCAAGGTACCCATACCGCTGCTCCTCGGAGCTCTCCCGAGGTGCGTTCTGACCAGGATTTCGAGGCGAATCCAGCGCTGGCGACGAGGGCCTCTCAGGAGACCCAAAAATGGGAAAAAACGAAGCAAGGCTGGCGGTGTACGTACTTACCCTTTCCTCCCCTGAGGACTAAAAATATGTTGTCCACAACGCACGCCATACTCGGCGTCTTCGCGGCCAGACTCATCCTGGGCCCAGGATCAGTGCAAACGCCTCCCTGGCTTGGGCACGGCCCTGCCAGGATAGGGGACGCCGACAGTTGCCATCCACCAGGGCGTTGGGACGCCATGGAAATACGAATGACCACACGACAACGACGACGACGACGACGACGACGCCGCCGACGACGCCGACGACGCCGCCGACGACGCCGACGACGCCGACGACGCCGACGACGCCGACGACGACGACGCCGACGACGACGACGCCGACGACGCCGACGACGCCAACGACGACGACGACGACGACGACGACGACGACGACGACGACGACGACGACGACGACGGGCGGAGTACGGTCGAGCGGCTGGCGGCTGGCGGCGACGCACGTGGCGGCTTGGACAACGCACGCCACTGACAATCAGGGCCAGTGGCACTCTCTGATGAACGATTTCTGCGAGATCTGAAGGCTACGGCCCCACGCGCCACGTCCCGAGTGGGCCGGATCTTCTTGACCGTCTGGCGTCTCGTCTCGCCAGGGTGATAGGACGAGAATGGCGGCATGATGGTATTGGCTCAAGGAACGTTCCAGTCCGTTCCCGCAGCCCGTGTGGAGCGCCAGGACATCTTGGAAATCCAGGGAACCTTGGAAACCTTGGCAGGAATCAGTTCCACGACCCCCTGCTCCCCAGACCCCCGACGCCCTGATTTTTCACACCGTCGACCCCAGGAGGTCTCAATCCCTTCCCCGGGACCACCTCTTCATCCCGGGTCGACGTTTGACGGCCCCGAGGCCTGGCAAGGGCCTCGGGAGGCCGAGAACAACGAAAAACACCTCCCCTCGTGATGTGTCCACGACCCGAGAGAATCTGGCTCTTCTGAACAGCAAACAGAAAAAAACAAAAACAAAAAAAAAAACTAAAACGGAAAAACAACAAAAACAACTCCCTGGCTATCCGTTGCGGTTGCAGCTGCCCCAGCTGCCGTTCTCGCAGGCGGCGATCGCCGCGCACTGCAGCACCGCGCCCCCGGCCGGCCCGGCCTCGTCCAGCAACGCCAGCGCGCGCTGCCACCGGGCCGCCCGCTCGCAGGCGGTGGCGGCCTCGGGGGCTGCAGCAGGGGGGGCGGGGCGCGGCGCGGACCCGCCTCGGGCCGTGGAGAAATCGCGACGGGGAGCTTGTCGTCACCCTCGGCCTCCAGGGGCCCTTTCCCGGGCTTCTCGGGGCCGGGAAGCGTCGGCCCCGGAGGGGGAACCGGCCCCGGGGAAGGGGCCGAGACCTCTGGGGGTCGACGGCGTGAAAAGGGCATGCCGTCGGAGGTCTGGGTACCCCTGAGATCCGAGGGCTCCGATGTTTTCACGCCTGGCGTGTCCACCCGTACTCGGACTATGAGGACCATCAGGGCCGTCACTCGGCGGCGAGCGAGGGGGGCAAGTGAGGAGGAGACGGCCTCCGCAGAGAGATGGGGTCCAGAGCTCCGGTGGTGGCTTCTCGTGGGGGTTCTCCGTTCTCGCGACGCGGGACCTCAGGCACGTGGAGGAGGAGGAGGAGGAGGAGGAGGAGGAGGAGGAGGAGGAGGGACTCCACCGCGCCCGTGTGTCGGCGCCCACCCGACGGGGGCTCCACGACGGGCACTCTGGCTGGCGGCCCGGCGAGCCCCCCAGCCTTCCCCTGGGTGCGGGCGGCGCTGCAGTGCCCCGAAGAGCCCCCTGGGTGGCCACCCAGGTCAAACCTCCTCCCCCTCCTCCTCCTCCTCCTCCTCCTCCTCCTCCTCCTCCTCTCCTCCTCCTCCTCCTCCTCCTCCTCGTCCTCCTCCTCCTCCTCCTCGTCCCCCTCCTCGCCCTCCTCGTCCTCCTCTCATCCTCGCCCTCCAAGGGCCCGAGGAGGAGGCTCACCTGCAGGGCCAACCCTAAAAGCGGTGGTCTTCGTTCTCATCCTGTTTTTCGCTCTTCCTCGTTTTGCCCTCGCTTCGCCTCGGATGCAGAACAGATCGAAAAGCAAGACGGCCCACGAGATGGCCAAAACACCGTTTAGGTCCAGCCATGCTCTGTGCCGGCTTCCGAAGTACCCGCCAGGGAAATACCAAGTACGGTGCCGCTGGGCGTGTCTGACGAGGCTGCTGGGCAAGTGCGTGCAGCGCCCACCCCCTGGACTCAGATAATGATGATAATGAGAATGATAATGATGCCCCGCGTGGAGCGGGAGGTAATGATAATGATGCGCTCCAAGGTCTCCAAGGCTTCCAGGATGTTCAAAATTTCCCAGCGCTCCAGTGGCTGCAAAAGCAAGAACCGTTAGACAGTCTGGAAATCCTGGAACGCATCCCGGGCCAATCCTATCATGACGTCGTTCTCGTCCTATGCTCTGAGGGGCAACGATAAGGGGGACTGGCATGGAGGGGGACACATCGACCTAGAATCGGCAAAGAATCGCCGATAGATCGGCGAGAGGGTCCCGATGGTGAAGCCGTATGCTCCTGGGCAGCCTGCGGCTATCGGGCCCCTGTCGGCGATCAGTAGGCGATTGGGGGGCAATGCACCCCCCCTGTGCCTATCCCCTCCATCGCTGCCCCTGACGGGATCTGCTCCCCCTTTGCGTCCGCCCGGCGGCCGCGCTGTACGCCACGCTGCCAGGCTCCTGCCTCAGGAGGCGGGCCTCCTCGAGCAGCGTAGGGGCGGATCGAGGATCGAGGTGTCGGTGTGGATCGAGGAGCCGATGGGGTGCAGGGGGGCATCATGCTGCGTGTCCTCCTCGGAGGCGTGCGTTCGACCCGAACAGATAGTTCATCCATCTTGTAGTACATCGCTTCCCGAGCGGTACGGCCAGAAAGCGCCTGCCACGGATCTTATACTGTAAGGTTTCTCGGCGCGCGCGTCGCCCCTGTGGGAGCTACGCACACATGGTATTAGTATGTGTGGGGGTGACGCCGAGGCGAGACCAAGATCAGTCAGCGTCGAATTCATAAAACGAATCGAATCAAAAGTGTGCATCGGGACGGGCTGTATCGGCACGGAATCGACATCGAATCGGATCGGCCGCGCCAGGAAGCACGGCAACGCCATACAAGCATCGGGGCCGCATCGGATCGGCGGAATATCGGAATCGAATCGGATCGGACGGGCTGGAATCGACGTCGGTTCGATCGGATCGGAAAACGGACCCTGCGAGGGCGCATCGAGCACCGAGGGTCGGTCGAAGATCGACGCGGATCCAGGGGGCCCTCCCGCGGGCCCCCCCGGGGAGCGTCCCGTCGGCGCGGCGGGGGTTCTCCTTGGCGGCGCGCACAAGGGGGTGGAGGGAGGGGGGAGGGCTTCCTAGGAGGAGGCTGCTTCTTGGAGGGCGCCAGCCTTACATCTGTAGACAAGGCCCGCGCCTTCTAAGAATGAAGGGGCCCAGGGACACACAAATAAATACACACAAATAAAAGGATTCCCCATATTTTCCTATATTTTCTGGGTTTTTGTCTTCCCCACCACTGCCCAGATTTTCCCGTATTTTCCTGGAAGTCGACGATTAATTGTGTCTGTGTGTTTCTCTCCCTCCTGAAAGAAGCAGGGGTGCTTCTAAGAAGCCCTCCCCCCTCCCCCACCCCCCTCTGCGTGTGGCCGATCTCCTCTAGATTCTGGCGGAGGAGGAGGGAGGAGGAGGGAGGAGGAGGGAGAAGGGAGGAGGAGGGAGGAGGAGGGAGGAGGAGGAGGAGGAGGGAGGAGGAGGAGGAGGGAGGAGGAGGGAGGAGGAGGAGGAGGGGGAGGAGGGGGAGGAGGGGGAGGAAAGCCCTGGGAAAGACTCAGGGGGAGGGGGGGCGGCTCTTGGCCGAGGGGGGCGTGATGTTTACCAAACATCACACACCCCTCGGCCGACCTTATATCGGGGATGGAAAGACCCCCCTTTAGCAAAACGTGGTTTAGTGAAAACGACCTGAGGCCCAAACCTGGCGGGCGCAAGCCTGGAAAATAACGGCCACGGCGCCCTCTCGAGAACCGAAAACGGACAATTCACTAATCGACGTGTCACTGTTGGGGGTTCTGTCCACCCCCGATAATAGGTCGGGCATGTCCCCCTACAGGCGGATTTGGGCCGAAGGATAAGAAATACTTCCAAAAAATTCGAATCATACTCAAAAAATCGTCCCCGGACTACGCTTTGACTGTTCTTGGATATTCTTCCTGAGGAGGGACAGTGCGCAAGCTTTTGTCCGGACTATCTCGGGGGCCCCTCCCCGTCGCAGGGGCCAAGCCTCAGCAGCTGGCCACGGCGGTGCGCGGACCGGCTCGTCTTACGCACCCCGCGGCCGGAGGGAAGCGTGGTGCTTCCTAACGGTTGGACCGGATATCGAGGCCGGGAAGGCAGAGAATAGCGACGAGCATGGGGGGGCGGTGACGACGGAAGGCACGTCGGGCGGGTGGTCAGCAGGGGTGACCTGCATGGGGGGTGCAGAAAAGAGCCACACGGGGGCGCTTTAGGGTCCCTGTGGACCCCATATTGGCTCCAAAGGGGGCCCCAAAGGGGCCCCTGTAGGGCCGTTGTCTACACCTTCACCCCCAATTTAGGTCACCCCCCATGACCACCCGCCCGAGCACGGCAACAACAAGGGGGCCGATACTCTCATGGTTTATCCGTAGCCCTAGACCTCTGGACGACCCCACCGTGGAACCCAGCTGATCACACTGGGGGATCAACACAAGGTCCTGTGGCCCTAAGCGGGCAACCCCGAGGCCGGGGGGGGGAACCCTCGTCTAGATATCTTGCTGCAACGCCGAGATACGAGGGGAGAGGATCAGGGGAGGGAAAGAGAAAGATGGCCATGACCAAGACCGAACGCGGAAACGTCGGCGTCGATCTTTCGATCTTGGTCATCGTCCATCTCTGTTACCATGTAAGTTACTGTCGATTCGTGGTCAATCCTCGCGAGTCGGCGACGGCCCACATGGGCCATGACCGCCATGACCAAGATCGACGTTGACAAGTTCCCGCGACACCTCGGCCATGGTCAGCGTGCTGCTTCCCTCGAGAAAGGGGAGAGGAAGGCGGCGAACTGTCCTCCAGCAGCGCCAGGGCGCCCCACCAGCAAGCGCCCCTGGCGCACGCGGACGTCGCCGCGCCACACGCCACCAGCTCCAGCCGCGCCCCGTCGAGCCGCGCCGCCGCGATGAGGCCGAGAGCCTCCTCCCACTTCCCGCCCAGCTCGCAGGCGTTGACCGCAGCGGTGTACACGACGATGTTCGATGATCCTCGAAACGCGAGCTGGCGCCAGCGTGCGCTCTCCCCCCACAGCCCGTCGGTACGACGCGGGCGGCTCAGCGAGGGCCGACACATGCTGCGTTCTGTCGGCGGGACTGACTGGGATAAGCACAAACTCGGCGAGCACACGTCCTGAGGATCATCGAGATGTTCAGGGCGACCCTGGCCTGCTGAGCCCGGCTCAGCAGGCCGAGGGCGCGCTCCCACTGGGACGCCTTTCCGCACGCGCTGATCGCTGAGCTGAGGGTGACCGCATCTGGGTCCACACCACGGTGCCACATGTCCCTGTAAAGGGACAGCGCATGCTCCCAGCGGTGGCGCCTCTCGCACGCGCTGACTGCCACGTTGTAGGACCGCGCGTTTGGGGACAGCCTGACACGCCCAATGCCTCGCAGCACTCGCAGTGCCTCCTTCCAACGGTGGGCCATCTCACACGCGCCGATGGCAGCATTGTGAGAGATCACATCGGTTACAATGCTTCGATCCACGAGACCATAGAGAATGCTCAAGCTGCGAACCCACTGATGACCCCTACCGCATGCAGTGATAGCAGCATTGTGGTTGATCAAGCTGGGCACAAGCCTATGAACGCTTAACTCCTGCAGCAGGGCCAGGGCCGTGAACCATAGTCGTCTCCTGCCGCACTCGCTGATACGCACAGTGCACTGGCGAAGCTTTGTCTCCAAAACATCCATCGCATGCAGACAGTATGCGGCCGCTTTGACTCTCAAGCAAATTTTGAAATGGATTGCAACTCCGCGTGACAAACAACGTAACAGATCAACAGAGAAACTTCTTGAGATGCACAAACACACGAGCCAAAACAGCTGTTGGCGGAAGGACGTGGGAAGGGGGCGAACGGGAGCAAGAGGAAGGGAGACGAAGGAGAAAAGCGAACCGTACGGAGGAGACCAGGACTGGGAGAACATGGAGTATGGATTCGCCTGCCGGAACGTGGGCGAAACACCTCTCCGCACCAACGGCCTCGCGGGCTGGGCCCCCGGACCGCGACCCCCCCGCGGAGACGGCAGGCTCCTTCGCGGATGCACCGGGAGGAACGCATCCGCACGACTGCGCGTCCGCTGGATCGCGCCCCGGAAATCCCCACCCGCGAGGGCGCGGATACGGACATGTTCGCCGCCCGTTCGTGCAGGGAGGCGAGCTCACAAAAAATGGATTCGGGGAAGAAGCACGACGGAGAGGAAGAGGAGGCTGGAGGGGACGGCACTCGGGGACGGGAAGCGGGGAGGGAGGGAGGCGGGGAGGGAGGAGGAAGGGAGGCGGGGAAGAAGGGAGGCGGGGAGGGAAGGAGGAGAGGCGGCACTCACGGGGGAAGGAGGCGGGGGGGAGGCAGGGCGAAGCGACCGGAGAAGCCACGGAAACGGCAGGGAGCAAGAGAGGGGGCAACGAGAGAGATTGGGGTGCGCAGACGCACGCGCAAGAGAAACGCCCCTCCCGGGTGCACAGTTTCCCCCAGGGCCGTAGCCGAACCGAGGAGGAGGAAGAGGAGGAGG